ATCATTCAGATGAATGAAAATAAGAAGATATGACAATGAATTGAGCATAGTCCTTTAAGCCCTGTCACATGTATATCAGTCAAAAGTGATATAGAACATAGGAGTGACCACAGTCGAAATGTATAACAAAATAAATCCACACATCAGAAACTATGCTTAGGAAGTCGCTGTAGTTTAGCAACTAGATGCTCGGAGGCGGAATTGAGTCATGAATTCAAATCCGAACAGAGCCTGGATTTAAAAAAACAAATGAACCTGGCTCCCAGATCCAACCAACCTTAAACGGATACCATGTAAAGCCCTGGAAAGTAAAGGCAGTCAGAATGATACTGACCACATCATCCATCGAGTGCGGATTGGTGTATCAAATATACGTCTAGCACCAAATGCCCAATAGCCCTGAAGGCGTGGAAAAGGGTCCTTTATTTTACGGTTTTTTAAAAAACTATAACTAAGAAACATTCGGCTGAATTTGTGCAAGTCCTTCCCTTTCACCTCCCCTGAGCATCATAATCTGTGGTGTGTTAATTCACTGAATGCATTTCAGTCAAGAGTAGCCTATGTAAAATCACTGAGTAAAGGTAAATATAGCAACATAAAACTTGATCTCATCAATCAATCAATATATCTTCATACATAGTTAAATACATGCGATGCAATTAAAAAAAAAAATACAAATTAATGTACCATTTACAAAGTGAATTATAAATTGAGTAAATTAAATTCAATGCACGAGTTCTGGGTATATCAATGGTTTGAAAAAAAATGTGATTGGTATTCAAACAAAGTTGTGTAGTAAAGCTATTTATTTGTCCATAATTTGTCCATAGAATAAATTACTGGCCAATAAAGACATAGGTTAAACAGCATTTTCAACCCAATGCACAACATTAGTATTCAAATTAGTATAAATATTATCAGCAAATGCATTTTTCCAGCTGCAACACATGGATGAGATATGCACCGTTCAGCATTCATTTAAGAAGGAAATCAGGTGTGTTTTTTCAATTTAGTGCTACAGGAAAGTCTTAGAATAATATGGATCAAGAAGGACTAGTAACATTGTGCCACCAGTGCCAAACATAGACATTAACAACAAAAGAAAAATTAAAACATCAAAAATGAAATGTCTACAATGAATTCTAAATGTAACTAGAAGAGACAGGGTTAGAAATGTCGACAACAGGAAAGAAGTTGGGGTGGAACAAGTATTCAACTACATCAAGGGATAACCGGTCAAATGGTCAAGATTACCACCAGATAGTGCATCACAAACAGCCCTGTCATTTAGACATAATGGAAGCAGAACTAGAGGTCATCGACCCAAGCGATGGATAGATAGAATACACTCAACCGTAAACACCAGCATCTACGTAGCATATACCAAGGCTCGCACCTGATGCTTTTTTTAGAACTGGACTCTGAAAGGCACAACAGGACTACAGAAGAAGACGGAGGGTAAAAATAATTACATCTGACAGTACCAGAACACAGAGGATGACAGGCTCATAAGCAACAGAATGTTACTGAAGTTGAAATACTTCAGATGTTTTAAAAGCTATAATGGTTTAGGAAGAACATTAAAAGAAGGGAAATTCCCAAAAGAAGCAGGAGTTCAGCAGCAAGAAGACTGACAGGGCAGCATGAAATTACACAGGTAAGGGGAATTGGTGAGGGACAGAGTGGCTCCGTGGCAGGCTGTGAGAGCAGCAGTCAGAGGAATTGGTAAGAGACAAAGTGGCTCCCTGGTAGGCTGAGAGGGCAGCAATCAGGGGACTTGGTAACGGACAGACTAGCTCCTTGCTGTAATAGGAGCAATCAGTGGACTTGGTAAAGGACAGAGTGGCTCCCTGCTGTGAGGGCAGCAATCAGGTGAACTGGTAAGAGACAAAGTGGCTCCCTGGCAGGCTGTGATGAGAGCTACATTCTGCAGAGAACTGGCTACAAAATCTTATCAGACGTAATTAAGTGACAGTTAAATACAACAATCTAAGGTGCCTCTACACACACAGTGAATTCCTCTTCTGCTTCTTCTTAGCGTTCACCAGCTGTAAACTCCAGCAGAAAGTCCTGGTTTCTCATCTACTTCTAGACTTTAGTCCTGTTCAAGAACTTGAGTTCTGCAGGCATACCTACTTTGCAAATCGGGCTTACTTGTATACAGACTGCTGATTCTCCCCCCATTCAGGCAGATGCTCTCTGACTTTGAAGGAAAAACTCCTAATTAGTTGCCATGTCTGTTAGGATCCTGGAACCTACACTGGCAATACAACAAACGATGGAGGAGATCAAATATAGCAAGTGTAGGACCAACTGTATGTTTACATGCCAGAACAATTGAAGAAAGAGAAAACAAGTCTATAAAATAAAACAGAAAGACTAAATGTGATCTTATTGCACCTCTACATCCCAGGAAAAAACTACATGTGAACTTCCTGAACTTCTACATCCCAGGATAAAAGAGAGAAGACTCAATGTGACCTTACATTCCAGGGTAAAAGACAAAAGACTAAATGTGACCTTATTGTATCTCAACATACCAGGGTAAAAGAAGCAAGACTAAACACAACTTTATGGTGCCTACACTCCTATGTAGAAGTACAAAACAATTCTGGCCTTTAGTCTTGTTTCAGAACTTGAGTTTTGCATGCACATCTGTTTTACAGATCTGACTTATGCAAACTGTTGGTTCTATGCCTCTCAGGCACATACACTCCAACTTAGAAACCTCTAATTAGACAACCTTTCCAACATGCTTGTTAGAGAGGCAGTGAGTGTATTCCTTTTTTTTCCTGGACAACAAGACCCAGAATACACAAGAGGAAAACAAGATTTAATGAAACATGACTGTCAAGAACCACAACTTCAGGGGTATCCAACGTGTTGACCACAGCCTGTTAGTTGACAGACAAGCTGTGAAAGGTTGTCCACATGGTCTGAGTGGAAGACAACACTGTAAGGTACTTCTATATCCTAGGGCAGAAAAGGAAAGACTAAACAAGACCTTAAGGTACCTCCCAGCTTCCAGGGCAGAAGAGGAAAGACTAAACAAGACTGTAAGGTACTTCTATTTCCCAGGGCAGAAGAGGAAAGACTAGACAAGACTGTGAGGTACCTCCCTGCTCCCAGGGCAGACGAGGAAAGACTAAACAAGACCGTAAGGTACCTCCCAGCTTCCAGCGCAGAAGAGGAAAGACTAAACAAGACTGTAAGATACTTCTAAACCTCTACGACTAAACAAGACTGTAAGGTACCTATATATCCCAGGGCAGAAGAGGAAAGACTAAACAACATTTCAAGATACCTGTACATCTTATGTTAAAACAAATTAATTTAACACATTAAATACTTAAACAGTGGAAACATAATTTGGTGAATTAAAGTTTCAAATTTGTCAATACAAATAGAAAAACGGTAATAAGGCTCAAACATTGTCAACAATTGTATACATGTGCCATAAATATAGCCGCTATTGTCATTTGTTAAGTAGATAACAATGATTCTTATTTAAGTAAGTAACAGGCTCTTTTCACACAGCACCAAGCCAGCTACCTTTACTTTCCAGGACATTACCTGGTACCAATTTAAGGCTTCAGGAAAAAATATAAAACCAAAAGTATATCAGCAAGCTTCACAATATAACAAACACAAACAAAACGTGAACGTCGCGGCTATGGAGCCTTCTTCAGCACATACATAGATTAGACAATTCTACACAAATACACAATATCACTTATCTTTGCATCTCGTGGCAGGCAGGTCGATGTCAAGACAATAGTCCAGGCTTGGTCAACCTGAGATCCCAGGTCAGTTTTTCCCAAGCAACATGTGAAGATGACCCCTTGTGTAATGTGTTCTCTTACTTTATACATATGGCGTCATATGCTTTTTCTACCAGGCTAGTTAAGCTGTTAGTCAGGATTCTGAATTCATTACAAACAGGTCCCCCCACAACTGCTCTATTTCTGTGTCAGTGACAATCACACAAAATGCCCATCACTGGCGCTTGTGAAACGTTAGACATCAGTCCCGGCAAAATCCAGCAGCTTGCATATGGATTGAATGCAAAAGGCAGCTTCTGGGGGTGCTTACACCTAGTCTGTCACTAGAATTGCTGATCACAGTTGAAGGAAGCAGCAGTCTTGACAAACATATCAGGTGCACAGGAATTACTGCATAATACATACAGGCAATTCTGTGGCAACCAGCCACTGAACAGATTCTGAATGTGCAGTTAGTTTACAACTTCTCTGGGGGCACAGACAAGAAGTATTCACCAACAAATTAACAGCTCACAGTGTCATGCTATGCATTCAGCTCAGTCGCTAGTCGACAGAACCGGATTTCACCTCTACCTGATTTGTTGTCTATCCAATTTCTCACTAGGGGTTAAAACCTCAACCTGTCACTGGATTACTGGGAAGAGCAGGATCCACCACATTAAGGTGAGTTAAGCTTCGGCAAAAGAATATGAGTTGAGCTGAGTTAAGCTAAGAATTGACATCAAAGCGCTAGGAACATTCCCATAAGCATTCTGTCCCCATCTCCAGCAGCCGGTGTAGATGTAGCGGTCCGACTGTATGTCGGTCTTGCCTTTACTCAGAGTGTTGACCAGATTTGCTGGTCATCACCTGCTGCACCATTCTCTCATGCCGATTTATTTCTGTTTCTTCAATGTTCATTTGCACCCAAACATCTAACTTGTCTTGCATCATTTACCATTAAGTGGTGTAGTGCTAGCCAATCTGTCTGCCCGTTCACTTCCCTATAAACCTAAATGCCCTGGAGAAAAAAATCAAAATATTCAAAGGAAGCTAACTGTTAAAAGACACCTTTTAACCACTCACAATGAAATACTGATTGGAAATTGAAAAAAAAATCATTAGTATCTTCTTATCAGCAACATACAACTCATGATGTCATTTAAGAGTTAAGAGAGCAGTGATCATATAAGTACTAATAAGATGATAATGAATTGAGTTCATCATTTGGTGTATCGTCTACCTGACCATCTTGGACTGTCGCTGACTCTTCAGTCTGTAGATTTCTTCCGTCAGTGCCAGGTTGCGTTTGGCAAGAACTTCTGTGTGTTGTTTCAAATAACGGATCATGTCAGCCTGCTTCTCTAAGACCTGGTCATCATGACCTTCGTTCCTTGAGGGAGAAATTTAAAAAAAAAAAAAAATTTCAACAGTTCATTAATATTCACTCACAGGATTCAGAGAATTTCAACGTGTGACTGAATCAGTAAAACTAAATAAATACTTGAGTGATTAATTGAAACCGAGTAAAGTAAGTATTGAACCCTTTTTGATACCAATGGTACATCAGATATATCATGCTTGACAAACAGTTTTCTAGACCTAACGAATCACTAAATGATTATACTCATGGATCATCTTCATCATCAGCATACAGTAAAAGTATAATAATCTTAACTGATGACTGTTCCTTTTCTTTCCCCTATATCGTCTTGCAGACAACTTTCAGATGTTCCTTTTAAAAAAATTTCATCAGTGTGTCTTATAAATTTATACTTTGGGTGCAAACAAATCTTATCTGCAGATGTAAAGGGAAATATCTGGTGTCTATAAATTATTTATAATCGATGTTATTTCCTCTAATCCAAGTTCTTCCACGGCACCATAAGTTTCTACAGGGATACTGTCTGATCCTGCAACTTAACCATGTATTAATTTCAAGAGAGCACTTTCCACATAACCCTTTCACTCAGCAACCTCTTCTTCTGCCATTCATCTCCTATAGAAGCACAGGACCTCAGCCCACTTTTTCTAAGACTCCTTAAACATTTAGTGGATTTTATTAGCTTCACTTTCTACAGCAGTGGTTCTCAACCTTCCTAATGCTGCGACCCTTTAATACAGTTTCCCATGTTGTAGCGACCCCCACTATCAATTTATTTTCGCTGCTGCTTCAAAACTTCAGTGAATATGTGTTTTCTGATGGTTTTAGTTGACCCCTGTGAAAAGGTCGTTTGAGCCTCAAAGGGGTCCTGACCCCCAGGTTGAGAACTGCTGTTTTACAGGATGAGAGGGCTTTAGGTCAATATGCTGGACAGGCAGGTTTACTGTTTTTAGTCATAGCAAATTTTTATGTCTGACAATAGTTAGCTGTTGTAATTTCCTCCGTATGTAAACTAAAAGGATATAGTTCCATCACCTGGCTACTAATCTGAAGGCACAGTGTGACACGGTGAGCTGCAGATTTAATTTGCAATGCTTTTCAAAAGTGCACAAAGTGGTTTGTGCTGTGAACTACAGATTCAGACAATGGCAGGAGGCCTGTTGCCAGAGAACTTGTGGTGCCTCTTATGCGACTATTTGCATGAGCAACTACTGATCTCTTGTAAATGCTGCTTCCATCAACGATGAACAGCACTGCAAGTTTTGGACTGTTTGTGCTGACACTTCTGACTACTGTCTTATGCATTTAATGTATCTGTATGCTGTTAAATTTGCTAAGACTATTCTGTGAGGTTTTTATTGGCTGAGGAACAGAGCAACTGTCGAGTGACCTATTTGCTACAAAGCTGGAACTGTGATTACCTGATCTACAGGATGAGGTAGCCAGTGTGAGGCTAACTCTCCTTAGTCACCTTTGGTAGGTTTCAGTGCTACAAATCTGTGTATCCATGCACGAGGTGGGCAACGATACAAGAGGGAGGACAACATCAAGAGATGGATGGGCAGCAGTCTGAGACATAGTACAACCAGGATAAGAGACAGGGTGAGTTGGAGATCTACTGCAGCCAACCTTCACTGTGAAGATGGCACCTGACTGACTGATCCATTATTGGCATCAGTTACACTAGGACTCAGCAGGCTACAACCTTTGCAACATTTCAATAAAACACTTATGCAGTGGCAAGAAAGTTTGCCTGCTGGCCTACTCATGACAGTTTTCAGTCACACAGACTGAAATGATTTTGGCTCCTAAACTTGACCCAATCTTAAATGAGCACAAGGAAACAGCCTAGAGATAAATGGTGGGTGGCATGATACCAACTTTATCACTGGAGACCGGAAGGTCCATAAAACTATAGTAACCAGCAACATCTTCTTAGTAAAAATTCTAGTCCAATGTGTGGATATGTGGGCTGTCCATTAAAGCCTTGTAGATGTTTGCTTCTGGCTAGTTTGATTACACATTTCTGCCATACATAGATTTGAAGTACATGGTTGTGTGGCTTGGCTACTAAGATGAGTGCATGGTGCTACATTGTGAGCTGTTGATTTTAGGCAGAATACTTTCTGAGATAATGGCAGGTGGCTTCTTGCCACAGAACTGGCAATGTCTTCTGTAGTAATGTGTGTGCAATTGCTGATCTGATGGGACTGCTGTTTCCATTGACGATGAACTGTTATTCTGGTGGCAGGCTGTTTGTGTTGGCACCTCTGGTGGCTGCATTAGTACTGCTATCTGTTCAATTTGTTTTTCACATGGGACAGCGATCGGTATTCTGTGTGGTTTTCACTGTCACAGGACTGGACCAATTATGGGGTGACCAATTTGCCGTGAAGTTGTGAAGAGCGACTAACATATGAATGGGTCCTCTACGCATTATATTTGTATCCACAACACTATATAAATGCTTAAATAATGGAAACGATGACTCACCTGTAGCCAAGGTCTGAGCCTGCGGCACCAAAATGTGACAAGTGCCCCTCCTGGGCCACATCTGGGAGTGGTTTCTTGTAGTTAAACTTCACAGTGTGAACTGGGAATGTAAAAATAAAGGGTCACAACTCTGTGCTAGAGGGCTATCAGGATTCTGCAAAGGACTGAAAATTGAAGTCTGAAAACAGTTCTATTATATCACATGCTCTCTGTTACCAGTAGGGTCAGAACTGGGCATTCTTTTCTCTCAATGTCTCCTGAGACCCAACTTATTAAAAGTTTTTTTTTTTTTAACATTTATTTTTTAATTGTTATGCTCGCCGGTGTATTACTAGGACTCATAAGGGAAGCACAGAAAAGTTAGACTGAAAACTATTATTTCTTGTTGTGTGACTGTTGATAAGGCTTTGGTCAAAACATCCACTTCATTCTGTGCATATTTTCATTTCTTAGTTCAGTGAATTCATTGTTTTGCAATATACCATCCATGTCATAAGAACAAACTAAGGAGGGTTGTAGTGTGACTGGGCATTTAATTCCATTAAAAAAAAAAAATTAAAATACTACAGTTAGCAGGGCTTAGCCTGAGCTGGTTGAGAACCCGTGATCCTTTGGGAAATAAAAGACAGAAGGAGAAAGAAGCAATCTGGCTATTTTGTGAAGTCAAGTCCAAAGTCGTTTTTGTCTAGATTAAACATAAATTCTTCTTTTTTAGAATCGTGAGCCCTTGAAAGCTCACTTGCAGAAATATCATGCGATTCTGTTAATCTTTGATTGACCAAAGTTGTTATCCATTTAAACATTTCTGAAATCTAAGCTTAATTATCTATCTAATTAATCATTTAGGTTTTACAAAGATGGCGGTGTCTGCCCATGCTTCAACTCCCCAACATAGAGAACCAGGTGTCTCTGTTTGTCTGTTCTCTGCCCTTTGACCTGAAGCTTGGGATGTCCTGCTGGTAGCTATGGACCTGCCAGCACAGCTCTTAAGGCCTCTGAGAAGCTCAAGCTCCTCGACTAAGTCAAGGTGGAGACACCTTCAGGGCAATTTAACATAAATACAACGTCTAATTGGAGTCGCCGTGGCGTAACGGCTAGATGCTCGCATGTGGATCAGAAGGCCGTGAGTTCGCTCCTTTGCGGAGCCTGCCTTTTTTCCAAAATGACCTTGACTCACAGATCCACCCAGCCTTGAGTGGGCACCGGCTGCTGTCCCAGGAAGTAAAGGCGGCCAGCGTGATGCTGACCACATCACCCATCCTGTGCCGATTGGTTTATAAAAATATGGGTCTAGTTCAATAGTGCCTGTTTATGCCTAAAGGCGTGCAAAAGGCACCTTTACTTTTTTTTTCTTTTTTTAACAATCTATAATTATTTCAGCAATCCGATTTAAACTATTTTCTAAAGGACCCTTTCTAAGCCAGTGATCAATCATGCATATGATATGCTAGACTTCTATTTTTATAAACTAATCTGGATTCAATAGGTGATATGGTCGACATTACACTGGTGGTCTTTACTTCCCAGGAAATTTCCTAACAAAGAACCCTTTTCCATGCCTTCAAGCGTTTTGGCATATAGATAACAAGTAAAGGACCCTTCCCCACCCCTCCAGGTGTATTGTGCATAAAGTAAAAGACCTATATTTTATAGACTAATCAGCAAGTCGCCTTTATTTCCCAGGACTTTACCTGTTACCTATTTATGGCTAGGTCGACCTGGGAGCCAAGGTAATTTTTTTTTATCAATCTATCTCCATTCAGATTTGAACTTACATTTTGATCCGCAGGCGAGCATCTAGCCACTACACCATAGACGCTCCATAATTTCTTAGTACCCACTGTTTTAAAGGCTGGTTGACCTGGCAGCCAAGGTCAATTGTTATCTCCAAATCTACCTTTCTTACAAGAATTCAAACTCAAGACCTCCAGGCCAGCACCTAGCCTACTACTTTACCATGTCTCCCATATTTCTTCTTCTTCTTCTTTGTGTTCACCGGCTAAACTCCAGCCTAAAGTTCTGGCCAGAACCTGGGTGTTGAGTGCACATCTGTTTTACAGATCTGACTTATTTGTATGCAGATTGCTGGTTCCTTGCCTCTCAGGCAGATGCACTCCAACTTCAAAGGAAGCCCCCAGTCAGTTGACTCTTAGGACATGCTAGCTGGGGAGGCAGTGGGTCTATTCTTTTTTTTCCTATAATGGGGCCCCAGAACCCACACAGAGATCTCCCATATTTAAACTTTTGCAGAAAAAACAACAACAAATTATCTGAACAAAATGGCAGACATACCCAAATATATCAGCAGGGAGATCAGGGCCAGGGCACATTCGATGCTGACTAAAATCTGTACATAGTTTGCTTTACTCAGTTTGTGGCAACCATCATCCTCACTGCAGTAGTTGTCCAAGACTTGTACCACTATTACCATCACAGCATTAGCTGTAAGAACACAGGAAAAAACATAGACAACAGCGGTGACATAAAATAATAAATGAATGGACAAACGGTACCGTTTAAACTCATTGTTATTATCATTAGGTTAGTTAAGTCTAAGGCTGGTTCTGAGGACAACTTATCATGTCATTCCATTGTCTGAGGGGGGGGGATGAGGCTGTCTGATCATGTCACTCTATTGTCCGTTGTTCCAGATACGATTGAGGTCTCTGAAGATGTCACTCTATTGTCCTCTATTCCAGGCAGGATTGAGGTCTCTGATCATGTCACTCTATTGTCCGTTGTTCCAGATACGATTGAGGTCTCTGAAGATGTCACTCTATTGTCCTCTATTCCAGGTGGGAGGTCATTTGATGATGCCACTCCACTGTTCCCTGTTTGAGGTAGCAATAAAGTCATCCGATCATGTCACTCTAATGTCCGTTGTTCCAGGCAGGATTGAGGTCTCTGATCATGTCACTCTAATGTCCCCTGTTCCAGTTGGGAGGTCATTTGATGATGCCACTCCACTGTTCCCTGTTTGAGGTAGAAATAAAGTCATCCGATCACGGCACTCTACTATCCCTTTTACTGCAGTTCTCTTCAGTTTTTGTGTAAGTCTGAACACCTTACTTGCTGAAACAATGTTTCTCTTTTGTATAAAATCCCCCTCTCCCTTTCTCAAGTGGGTTTTGGGGCTCCATTTTGGGGAAAATAGGGTGTGGTCAGGGAGGGGGGGGGGCCGTTGCTCTTACAAGCATGTCATAAATGGTGACTAGTTGAGGATTAGCTAAAATCAAGCATGCTGGATGAAAAACACAGGTATCGCAGCCCAGCCACATGCAAAGCACCAACTGCTGTATGCTAAAAAAGGGTCTAGGTTAAGAATTCTGGACAAATTATTAACCAGTTTTGTCAGTCAAAACTTTATATGAAAATAAAAAAGATGAGAAGAAATCTTACCAAGGGAATTTATCACAACCGGTATTCTGCGAATATTTCGAGTCTTTCTATAAAACTCAAGGTAGCCATGCAGCCTACTCTCTTCATGTTTCAGGTGAAAATAGCGGTCCAAAGCAAACAAGACAAACCACATGCCTCCGTGAATGTACTGTGTCAAGGAAAAGGCCTCTTTGTCGCATTTTCCACCCGGCAGACTATTTTTACAATACTCCAATGGAATAATATAAGCAGACACTCCAAGGGCAATCTGGCAATGAAAGAAATAATGTTACAATGTAATAAAAACATAATACTATAGCAGATAATGCCACTCCAAGGGCAATCTGGCAATGAAAGAAATAATGTTACAATGTAATAAAAACATAATACTATAGCAGATAATGCCATAGGGGACGTCCTTGTCTGTACTACCTTCCTGGACACCATTAAATGAAAGAGTCTGCATGTCTCTTGCATCTTATCTATCTGTCTGTCTGTCTCCCTCTCTCTCTAACACACACACACACCTAAGGGCATTAACATCCAACACAACTTTATCTAAAAAATTGTTAAGTAATGACCCTTTTCATAATCCACCACTCCCACCTTCCCAACTGTACAGTACCTTCTTCCTACAACACATGTGACTCAGAATTTCTATGGTCCAGAAGTGTTAAGGATATTTTTTTGAGAGACCTATACTTAGAAATTAGTGAATTTGTGTATTCTTGTCTGTAATTGCACCATTATCCATTTGTGTTATATGCTGATGAAGTCTTTCAAGCGGCAACATTCATTTATTGTACATGACTATGAAAATGTGAAGCTGAATAGTTCTACTTCTCATCTGGATTGGTAACTCTTCATATTATTCTTGGACACTAGTTAGCAAGATGGGGTGCCAGTTAAACAACAACAAAAACATAATTCGTAAATTTGTATATATACACAGAGACTCTTGACCAACTATACAAGTACATATATTATTCGAGTGGCATGCAAATACAAAGTATCTTGACTAACTACACAAGAAAACACATATTCCTAGAACTGTATGCAAATACAAAGTACTTTCATCAACGACAAACTGCATTTCTGGTGGTGACTGTTGGCTTCTGCATCACTAGCAACTGCCATATGCAATTACTGCCTGTGCATATTTCTGGACTGTGCCGGGACTAACTGTTCACCAGTTTTTCAAATGGGACAGTGAGAGACATTTCATTTGATTTTCACTGGCACAGGAAAGGAGCAAGTATGGGGAACCCAATTGCAGTGAAGTTGAAACCTCGACTAAGACTGAGACTAATTATGTTTACCGACCATACAATAAAACACTTCATTTCTATAATTGTATACATACATAGATAATCTTGATCAACTTTATAAGAACACATCATTCACATAAATAAACAGAGGGGGGGGGGGGAATCCCTAAGGCCGTAGAAATACCATATTATTAATAAACAAACAGATGATATACTGATGGGCACGCATAGAAAGAAGTAGAAAGTCAGAAGGACACACTAGACAACATAAAAATCAAAAGCTATAATTACTGTGCTGGGAATCGAACCTGTAACCTCCAAATTGTGTATGCACCTTACTATGGAAACAAGTGTACCAAGAACATGGCCCACTTGGCAAAGAACACACTTTATTTCTAGAAATGTATACATACACAGACAATCTTGTTCAAATTTTTAAGAACACCTTATACCTAGAGTTGTATACAAACATAGAGAATCCTGATCAACTATATAAGAAAACACCTTATTCCTAGAGTTGTATACATACACAGAGAATCCTGATCTACTATATAAGAAAACACCTTATTCCTAGAGTTGTAAACTTACACAGAAAATCTTGATCAACTAAATAAGAAAACACTGTATTCCTAGAGTTGTAAACATACGTAGAGAATCTTGATCAACTATATATGAAAACAAAGTCTTTCTAGAGTTGTATACATACACAGAGCATCTTGATCAACTATATAAGAAAACACCTTATTCCTAGAGTTGTAAACATACATAGAGAATCTTGATCAACTATATATGAAAACACTGTATTCCTATAGTTGTAAACATACATTGAAAATCTTGATCAACTATATATGAAAACACTGTATTCCTATAGTTGTAAACATACATTGAAAATCTTGATCAACTATATATGAAAACACTGTATTTCTAGAGTTGTATACATACATAGAGAATCTTGGCCAGTACAATCGCCCATGTGGTATTCATGGGTTTATGTGCAGTCTCTGGGCCAGAGATCAGCTGAATGTGATCCACAATCAGGTCATCATCATCTGGCTCTGCTGCGTTGATGCCCACATGGTCAGTGGAGAACCCATAGAAGCCCTGTAGACAAAATAGTTTGGCATACAAACAGGGCAGTCATTACAACAACACCCCCCTCCCCCCCCCCCCCCTTCCCTAGTATGAATACAGTACAAGTAAAGGAACCTTTTCTTATGCCATTTTAGAATCCCTGTGTGGGTTCTAGGGCTCAGTTGGAGCATGGGTGGGGGGGGGTTAGGGGGGGGGGGGGCAGAATAGACCCACTCCCTCACACTCAAGCATTTTGTAAATGGCGACTAACTAGGTATGTTTCCTTTGAAGTCAGACTACATATGCCTGATAGGTGCAATACCAACAATATGCATTCAAATAAGCTATACCTGTAAAGTGAATGTGCACACAAAAACTCAGTTCTGGAACAAACCACAGTTCAGAAGTGGATGAATAACCAAAACTTTCTGCTGGAGTTTACAGCTAGTGCATTCATCTGGGAAGAAGAGAATACTCGACAAATTATTTGGTTCTGGTAAAGCGACATGAAACTGTAGCGGAAAATTACAACCAATCAAATTTATAAAAGGCTTTGCTTGAGATGATTTTTGACCTATGCACCACTGGGAGTTGAAATGCAGAAGAATAAGACAAATATACCTGTAGCTGGCTAGTCTATAGCCTACTGTCTTCTTCTTCTTCGCACCACCGGCTGTAAACTTCAGCGGAAAGATCTGGGTACTCGTCCACCTCTGGACTTTAGTCTTGTTCCAGAACCTAAGTATTGCATGCACATCCATTTTACACATTTGACTTATCTGTATGCAGACTGCTAGTTCCTTGTCTCTCAGTCTTGTTGGGGAGGCAGTGGGTCTATTCTTTTTTTCCCCACAATGGGGCCCCGGAACCCACACGGAGCTTACATCCGGCTATCCTCCAAATAATGGCCACACATTATGGCGGCCCCCCCAAAAAAATACCCTGACAGGGCATCATTCACATGTAAATTGCAGGCTTTTTTCCGGCGAATATACCTCGGCAAAAGTAGGGTAAATTTCCGAGGTTGATTTTGTGAAACACAACAAAACACGCAGCAAAAGTGGGATAGATTTCCGGCGATGATGTCGCAAAACACAACAAACCGTCAAGTTAAATTCGCCGGCGAGAGTTTGCCCCGCACGTAGCAGCAGCTACCGCATCTCATGCAGCCTCCTGATTTTATTTGCTCGTGAGTCCCAGCCATCTAGTTTAGTCGCCCTCTACACCGCGTGTAGCAGGGAAAACTATCGGCGGCGAGTTGAACTCGGTGGTGGCAGTATGTTCGCCGGAAAGAAGTCTGCAAATTACAAGTGAGTGATGCCCCGTTAGGCTATGTTCTTGGTCGGCATAATTTGGGGCCTTATTTTTTCGTTCCTTATTATTTTTGAGTTCAAGTTTTTGAATGTTTACAACACATGACCTGATGAGGCCCTGTCAGGGTGTTTTTTTGGCCGCCATAATATGTGGCCCGTATTGGGAGGATAGCCATACAGCCTATTGTCAATATTCCCTATTATATGGGCTCTCCTCCAAACTTCTACCCCAGCATTTTGGCAGGAGAACAAATATCCTTTCGGGGCTCAGTCTTATTAAAAATATGTGAACTTCCTGTGACGAACGAATCATGGTAAAACTAGGATTACCTGACAATTTCAAGAGATGCAACACTGCAGACAATAGTAGCAGACGATAATAGCGACCGTTGACACTTTCAAGCGTTTCTGCAGACAATACTAGCGACCATTGACAATTTCGAGACAGGCAACATTACTGATGATAAAAGTGACATGGTGGGGAGACCACGTGCGCCGACGCATATTAGCGTCGTTGTTGTTCTCAAACTTTAGGTCATCCGCAAAACGCAGTTACACTCACCACCGACAGTATTCCCCGCACCGCTACGCGCAGCGTGGATGGGTGGGGGGGGGGGGGGGGGGGGCTAAACTAGGTGCCTGGGACTCACGAGCAAATTAATTGGAGGAAGTTGCAGGAGATGCGGTAGCTGCTGCTCGTGAGTCCCAGCCATCTAGTTTAGCCCCCATCCGCGCTGCGCGTAGCGGCATGGGGGATACGGTCGGCGGTGAGGCATAGTCACAGAAACAGGTCCGCAATTAACATATCGCTGAGACCCTGTCAGAGCATTTGTTTCATTATACGGAGCCGATCCTAGTTTCGCCGTGATTCGTTCGTCGCTGGAAGTTCACATATTTTTAATAGGATGGAGCCCCGTAAGGATATTTGTTCGGCCGCCATAATGCTGGGGTAGAGAACAGGGCTCACTGTCCATTTCTGAGTTTCATTGTATCCTGTGCACCCTTTTTGATATCACAGACGGAACCTAGCACGTCCATTCTTAACAACATCTTACTTACGGTTTCTCTTGGATAAAATAAAAATGGATGTTCATTTGTTTACCACTGCAGTAACTGTTCAGTGATTATCAGTATCAGTCACGTCCTTACCCTCACAGGGGTATCTCTAATCTGGGATTCGCCTTTTCGGTTTGCCATCCAGACTGAGATTTGTTAAATCTTTAATATATTTTATTTACTTTAAATAGTGAAATTAATAATACATAAATTAGAAATATAACAATAACTACTACTAACTTGTAACTTGTAGTATTAAATTAATAAATAACATAACTTCAAATGAAATCAAACTTAACTCGTCTTACTTACCCTAGGTTGGGATGCATTGTGATTGCTTGCCAAGCTCACCATGTTAGCAAACAGCTGGTGGGACACTAAGCTACAAATCGTGTGCGATTAACTTAGGTATCCCGCATTTCCTGCTAAGTATTTAATTATGTATTATATGTGTTATTGTTGTTGTTGTTGTGGGCAGGTACCGAACCTAACAGACACCTGATCTAAGCCAGCAGTAGGAAATGGGGAGCCGGGCTATTGAGCCTGTGTCGTATTGTAGAGGTCCCGGGTAGTTAACATCCGTTGAATATTCTCTCTAGTTTATGCAGGTGTGTTGGGAGCAGGCAGATAGACTGGTCGGTTTTGCACCACTTGGTGGTGAACTGATGTATGTATGAGATGTTGTAAGGGCCCTCTGGGAGCGAGTGAACAGTGCGGAAGCGCAAATAGATCATTACGGTCTGAGGAGAATGACGCTGCGGGGAGTTTCCAGGGGATCTGGCCGACGCTCAACACTAATGGGAAGGGCGAGACTGATATACAATCAGTTGCTGGTATCATCGTAATTGGAACTCTTCGTTTGCTGCTGAAGATGGAATGGGGCGCATATGGCAGTATCCCTAGTGCTATGATGTCGATTCTTAATTCAACATTTTTTTTTAAACTGCATATAAAACCATTCGGGAGTCACCCGTCGTTTCCATTATCATGAACATATTCATAAATCACTTTTGCTATTTATTAAGTAACGTGGGGAGGAATAATTTGCGATCCAGTGCAAGCTGGCTGCTATTGGCTATCGTTATGCAGTAAAGGTGTGGAGTGTTTTTAATGTTGCTGATCCATGTTTTTATTCGTCCTCTTGCTTTTGTAGCTGATCTTCTGAGATGTAGTGCTTGCGATGGTATTTGGTCTTGCTGCATTCTAACGAGATGGCTAAAATATTTAATCTGCTGCTTCTCGATTAATCCAGTACAAGGTATTGTTCTCACAATTTGTCCTACGGTATCATTATTCACTCGATCTCGGATGGTTAGGCTGGCGGCATTTCTCAGGCATTTCATCTCGCAAGTGGTGATTTTGCGTGCATGGGCTTTAGATATTATCCATGTTTGGCACTGATAGTTTGGCACTCTCGTTTTATTAACCAGAAAATAATTTGAACTGTTAGCGCGCGCGCACACACACACACACACGCACGCAGGCACCCCCCACCCCCACACACACACACACACACACACACACACACACAAACCTAGAGACATACTCAGGAGGAGATCTGAGTTCTTATGGTCATGTCTGATGATGATCTGTAAATGAGCATTGTATTGCATTTACTTTCTTCTGGATAAAGATTCGACATCAAAGCATTCAAGACAAGCCTATTATCGCTCCGTGTCTCAGCAGCCAGCTAAGAGTCTTCATACCGATACTATCTGTTGTCATCTACTTAACTACTCGACTTGCCTTTTACCCCACGCCTGGAGTGGAGCCCAGAGCTTGCAGACACTTCGCGCTGCATCATTCTCTTCAGGTGGAGTTTCTCGATATCTTCCATTTACTTTTTTTTTTCGTCCCACAGGCGAGACATCACATTTGCCTTGTGCAGATGCAGTCTCATTACTTAATTGGGGTACCTTGTATGACATGTGTTACTGAGATTTATCCTCCCATTGGAACGCCGCAGTTGCTGCCCCAGCCTCTGTTCTCAAGTTCAATGTAGTTTTAACATATACCCAGCTCTTCTAGGCATCCGTCTCCTTTATGTTTTTTGCACTGAAGCCCTGCCCTGCATATGCATATTCTGTCGCCCATTCCATGCATTCCTGTCATTTAACTTGAAACAGTCATATTATCATAATATCTGACTCACAACGCCTTGCAAGAATTTGAAAGTAGAACAAGAATCACCATTGAAAAAATAGCCTCCAGCAAGATGAAAATAATATCAATTAGCAGATAAATTGCAGTGACAGAAAAAAAAAACCGTTATAAAGTTCTACATAGACCATGTTTTGTTATATGCACGTGGGACAAAGACAGGGTGAAAAACATATACACGCTGGGGGTGTGTAGTTTATGAGTAGAATGTAGAGATTATCATGGAATTTGGAAAAACAAACGAGATATTCCTCCTCGAGTAGATGCATGTCATAAACTTATTACAGCAATTAGATGTAGACATTCGATGTTTTTCGGACATGTAATGAGAAAGAATGGACTTGAGAACTTGGTAACAACCGGAAAGACTCCTGTAAAGAGAGCAAACGGAAGACAAAGAGATAAATGCCTGCATTGCTTAGCCACATGGATTTAGGAATACGAGCACACTGACCTGAACCGTGATTTTTGTGATCGTTTAAGATTACGAAACATGACAGCACACTTACTGACATGGCACATGATGACATAGGCGTCGAAACCTAGAGGTTCAGGGCCCTTGAGACCTACACACAAATTCGGGGGGGGGGCGGGGGGGGGCTGAGCAACCCATCCCCTCCCAATAAATTGTGTAAGCTCTGGCTGGGAACAGCCATATATATGGTAACGAAACTTGGTCGGTTTACCTGAATGAAGAGAAATGGCTAAATAACTTAATTAAACATGTGATGTCTAAGGAGCAAACAATGGTATTAAGTGGCTAAATAAGATTATACACACTGAGGTATTTGAAAGAACGAGTATCCGAACAGATTTCTCAAGACTCAGTCTCTAAAGGTCCAGATGGCTGGGACCACTTGGAGAATGGAGGATGGTAAAGTCACTAAGGACATCGTCAATGGTAAACGATGTCTGGTCAGCATCTACTACGATTTTAAGATGTGTGCAAGCGAGACATGAATTATACAGGTACTGAGGTAGATTCGCGGGGATGTGATACCATGGATCGCATTGTACGGAGACGAGGAAATTATGAAATGAACAAGGATAAGATTGGAGACATGTTTACAGCTGGAAGTCTGAGAATAAACATGTTAAATACAAGTGTTGGCAACAATTGTCTTGAAATCCCATGGACTGATTGAGGGTGATTTTTAATAATCTAGTTAAGGGTAACAATTAGTGACAAATTATGCGGAAACTTCTTCTTCTGTTACTGCCTTTTCTCTTCTTCTTCTTCCTCCTACTTCTTCTTAGTCCTTCTTCTTATTCTTATTTCTCCTCCTCCTTCTTTTTCTACTTCAAGTTACTTAATTTAAATGTTAGGACAGGGGGAGGGCGGTTAAGCGATAGGTTGGTCTTTATTTATTTTAACTCTGTTTTTATGCTATCATTCCATCCTTTGTGTGGTCTTACCGTTAGGGAAGGAACAGTTTGCAGCTCGGTGGGTAGCATTACCTATTGTTCAATAAGTAAAGTATAGTAAAGGACCCTGTTCCACGCCTTTAGGCGTATAGGGCATATAGGGCTAGACTTATATTTTATAGACCAACGGCACAAGATGGGTGATGTTGTCAGCATCACGCCGGCCGCCTCTACTTCCCGGGACTGCACCCGGTACCCACTCAAGGCTGGGTCGACCTGGGAGCCAAGGTCATATTTGAAGAAAAGTCCAGCTCCGCCTATTGTTAAATATAATGTCTTTAATGTCACAAGTCCATTTTCTCATTGGAAACATTCATGCTCTCACATCCAATCTGTGTTTATAGTTGTTGTGGTTGCATTGTAATGGGGTGACCAAACCATTTGATCTTCAGCTTCATAAATCAGAAGAAAAAAAAAAGCCAGAAAGAATCAGACTGCTGATAAAAGTCAACTGTTAACAAATCCGTACACATAAAACAAACGTAACACTTTTTTGTTTATTTTAAGACAATCTTTACTGCACACCAGGCTGACCCGTCACCTTCTTTATTTTATAAACAGTTGTTATGTGTGTGAATGTATATATATATATATATATATATATATATATATATATATATATATATATATATATATATATATATATATATATATATATATATATATATTACACGCTATCAAAGACATAATTCAGTTAAAAAGCGCTTGTTCTGGTTATTTATCCACTTCTGGACTGCAGTCTTGTTCCAGAACCTGAATGCTTGTGTATCCGTTTTACAGATCTGACTCATTTGTATGCAGACAGCTGGTTCCTTGCCTCTGAGGCAGATGCATTCCGACTTTGAAGGAAGCACCCAGTTAGTCGACTCTTACGATATGCTTTCAGTGGGTCTATTCTTGTTTTTCCTATAGCAGGGCCCCAGAACCCACACGGGGATTTCCGCAAATGCATCACTGTTACACATTTCTAACATTATGGTGAATTCATAGATTAACGTCACTGAAAATACTTTACTATATAAACATAAATCTATAAACCCCAAATTTCAAATTCATATATTTTTCTAAAATCTTTTTTTTTTTTTTTAAAGAAGCAAATTTTTTTTTTAAAGTCCCTGAGCTGCCTAGAGAAACACCATAACCTTCGGCACGTCCGACTTTATTTATAGCTTAAGTCGGACGTGCCTTTGGTACGGTAACAAAAACATTCAGCATTCAATGACAAAACTGATATTCTTATAATCATGCCAATGAGCAGCGGCAGTGCGGAGCTAACCGGTCTGCAGATTTTCTAAGTTCAAATCCCAACGGATGCAGGTTTTTAAAACTGACATAGGCTCCCAGATCAATTCAGCTGAAAAATGTGTTACCAGATAATGTTATGGGAAGTAAATGCGGTCAGGGTGATATTAATATCATTAGCTATTGAATGCTGATTGGACTTAGAAGTATGAACCTAACATTGTATGCCCCAAAAATGGATGAAAATGAAGAGTATTAGATTGCAAGAAATCGTTTAACAGGTCATAAGCTGCACAGCATAGGAATGAGCTCACTAATAGCTGTAGCCAAGTCTTTTCATGGGCCTTTTACAACGTAGACAGTTTGGGCGCATGCTAGAAATAAGCACATTTGCACAATCCTCACATAGACATCTGCACTGACACGAGTACAGCTGTACCATATTGCCTTCTTCACGGCACGTCAGACAAACCCGTGTGTGTGGACGCGACGCAGAACTGCTGTTTGGTCTCCTAGGGATTTCAGTA